TTCCACAAAAATATGAAGCTGCACAGCTGTTTTCAACATTGATTATAAGAAATGTTTCTTGAGCACCAAATCAGCATATTAGAATGGTTTGTAAAGAATTACGTGATTATATTTAACAATATTACTGTTTTACTGTATTGTTGATCAAATAAATAATGGGTTATATATATTTTTTTCCAAAAACTGACGTCACACTGTAAATTTTAATATTTGCTATTTATTGTTTATCAGCCATAACACTGTATTCTAGACATGAATTTCTTGTAAATGAAGTCTGCACTCCAATCCAAAGCCTATGGTGATGGATCAGTTCTCACAGTGTAAACTGGCTGCTCTGCCAGGTGTGTTTCAGATCTGCTCATTACAAACTGTGCTTTCTGAGTAGCCTACCTCTCTCTCTCTCTCTCTCTCTCATTTGATTAAATGCAGCATTCAGCAAGATTTATTTGTCTCATTTTGCACAATGCTGCACACTAAAATACAAGCCTGCAACCTGGGGGCAATAGATATGTGCACGCACATAAACATTAGCAAGCACACAGTATACTCTGTAAATTAAGTCATTCACCACCCACAGGAAATTAGTATGTTAAAGAGGGAACACAATGGTGGGCACTATGGGGGTATGACTGCACCTTTTAAGACCAGCTGACTTGTTATGATCCTCTACATGTCTAATGAAAGGGTTGAACAGGTCTGTTTCTCCATACGGTGAACTGATTTCCTAAGTGACTGCTCTCACACAGACTTACCTCAGAGTTGCTAAGACTTCAACAGAGCTAATGATTAATACTGCAAAAATGCATCTAGACAACAGAGCCTTTTGTTTACAGGCGCGGTTTTCATCTGTACCTGCTGAGATATACAAAACAGATGTTTCTGGGATTTGTTTTGCAATCTGGTTAGACCTAGTCCTCCTGGGACTTGCCCACCCTCCTGTCTTTCAGGAAAAAAAAGTTTTGTTAAAAATGTGCTTAATGGGCCTAACATTTTTTTCCTCTTGTTTGACAGAACCAATAGACCTTCTTGATCATCTGTGGCAGGTGGCTAATCGCAGCAATGCATCAGTAACACAGGAAAGCCAAAGATGTCCAGTCCTGCATGTAGGCCAGTACTCCACCCTCTCTATACCACTACAACAGGTGTTTGGACACAGGTACACACACTTATTGTCTGCTGACATTTTTATTTTTTTCCTTTTATTATGTTTTTCTGTTTAGACACTGCAAACTTGGTTTGTATGTGCACCAATCTTAATGCATGTACATAGACAATATAAAAATGTTGTGTCTTTGCGAGAATAACCTCAAAACCACTTTGTAACTGATGTTATGAAACTTGAATTTATTCATTTATTTTCATTTTATATATGATATTATTTCTTAAAGTCAATGTAGGCATGTAATTCTAAACCTTTCTCTCACATTTCTTTCTCAGGTTTGGTGATGAGTTCAGTTTGCTTTTGCATCTGCGTAGCTCCCAGTCTGAAGACCGCAGTGTGCTGACCTTCCTCTGCCCAGACGGACACATTCTCCTGCAGATTCGTATTAGTGCCTACACCTTTACCTTCATCAGCACCCAACAACGACACTATGAGTGAGTCTTCAGTTTTCTCAGTTTCTATTTTATTTTATTTGTTAAATTATTCTTAAATGGGGATTAACAGGGAACCATCTGAAAACTCAAATTACTTGGTGGTCTTCATTATTTTGTGGTTCATACTTTGGTTCCAAAGCTGTCATCTTGGCAGGAAAAAGATCATTAAAAAGGCACATCTCAGTGAATCCTGTTATGAAACCACAGCCTGTTTAATCCCTCTCTTATTTTCTGTTGCTTGCTTTTGAATGTCATTGACTTTCTTTGTTCCTCTTCCATGATGACAAAGCCATCCTCATCGTCTCCTCATTCTTATGAAAGTATTAGTTTTGGCCAAGGGTTAATTTTAAACACAAGCACAGACCCCTCTGTGTTGAGGAGCTCTGTGGTATATTAAACCAAGATTTCTGGATTTGGCTTAAACTTAAGCCAAGCCTTACAGTCGAGATGTGTAAATGAGGCATGGGATTTAACTCATGGCCTCTCAAAACTAATATTTGGACCTGTCGCCTAATTACCCACCTGCGGGACAAAATAAATGGACATTTTACGCTCACATTTTACTTGTTTGTGATTCTCATTTATTATGAGATGGCATAACAATGCCATAATGTTCTTTCTGTGTTCTCATATGGGTTTCTGTTTAGTTTAAGGTTGCATATACCAAAAAAAAAAGTAATTTGTCATTACACAGACAGGAAGCATTATGGCTCTGAATGTTTTGCCAGGAAATTTAATGGATTTTGCTTTTCTTGGGTTCTCCCGACTCTCCCTGTTCTCTGATGCATTAGCATGTGATTTGACCAGCCCACCCTGTCAAGAAAACTAAATAAAGTAGTTTGTTTTTCAAAACCCGTCGTGTCATTCCCAGGTTCCCCGTGGCAGTGCTGTCTGATGGGGGTTGGCACCGCATGGCGGTCAGTGTCTCCTCGGGCCGGTTGGCGTTGTATGTGGATTGCTCCATGGTTGAGAGCGTGGACTGGGCATACAAGGACGGTTTGGGAATCTCCACTGATGGCATGGTTATGGTTGGTGGAATCATTGAGGGTTTTGAGACACCTTTTGAGGTCAGTATGAAAAACATCATTTTGTTTAATGAGGTCTAAACATGCAAGGTTGTAGTACCCATCACTTACTGTGTGATGAGAAAAGTGTATCCTTCATCAACACATACTGTAAATACTGTAAATCTCCAAAACGTTCCCAGTTGGCATTTAAACCCAAAGTCAGGTTTATGGAGGATGAGGGGCTCTCAGTGTATAGGAGTTACTATACCCCAAGCTGAACATCTGCGTTTATACTCACCCAAGATTCCAGATGGATTGGACATTCTGTTGCTGACAAGCGGATAGAGATTTTATATTTTTTATGTGCAACTGTCTGTTACAAACTGCCAGCATGTTTTCTTACATAAATAATATATGATGCAAAATTTAACAAGAGTATGATTTGTTGGTTTACAAAAATTGCATGGCATAACACAAGGCATTTCCCATAGTGCAGATATCCTATCCTAAACATTTATTTACAAGACCACCCAATAGTTCACCCAAAAATTTAAATTTCCTGAAAATTTACTCCAAGATCAATCCAAGATGTTTCAATCCAAGAGTTTATTTCTTCAGCAATTTGGAGAAATACAGCATTACATGATTTGTGAATGGGTGCCGTCACCAATTAACTGCAGAGGATCCATTGGTGAGCAAGTGATGTAATGCTAAATTTCTCCAAATCTGTTTCAATGAAGAAGAAAAAAAACATCTACATCTTGGATAGCCTAAGGGTAAGTACATTTTCAACAAATTTTCATTCTTGGGTGAACTATTCCTTTAATTTGTTGCTCCTTCTGTGTACAGAGTAAAGGAGTCACTTCTACAACCCTAAACACGTGATTGTTGACATTTTAACATTTTGGTGTTCCCGCTATAAACAAGAAACATATATGCCGTCTTAGATGCCAGTTTAACCTGTTTGGCATATAAATGATCAATGAAAAATTAGTGGCAGGAAGTGTAAAATGTTTGTAGCTGGGGTGTATACATGGCCATGGATTACAGAGTATAACAACAGATCCACATCAGGTTGGGGGTAAAAGAGGCATTTTGGAAGATTATTTTGGCCTTGTAAAATGGATGTCAAATTAAATTCCTGTGTTATGCTGAAGGGACAGGCATTTTAATGGAAGTAGGAGTATAGTTTAGACAGCTGTGCGCAAGTTAAATGCCCTTTTTTGGTTGTGTTAGATGGGGAAAGTTAATACAGCATGAAGTCTAAACTGAGTCTCAGAAAATGACATCATAGACTCCAAACATCCCATCCCATTTACATACTCACACACTGAACTCAGTCATGATCAGGGTTTGCATTTTCCCGACTTCTATAGGCAACACTTCATAATCGTAACAAACATAATTTTATTATAAGTTTAACAGATTGCTGGACTGTCATCTAGACTCCAAGCATTGATTGATTCATATGTATTTATGTCTAAAATGAACTGCTAATAAAAGCGTGTATGCTTATGTATTTTTGTGTGTGTGTGTGTGTGTGTGTGTGTGTGTGTGTGTGTGTGTCTGTAAGCAGGCATGCATGTATGCACTGTGTGGCTGTATGGGTTGTATGTATGTATCTGTATAGGTGTAATAGTTCCATTTGCCTCATTTCTGTCAGGACCTCTATCGTCAAAGATGATTGACAATTAGCATACAGTTTGGATTGG